TTTTCCCAACCATGTCACACTGTGAGGTATTTCTCTTGTGAAGCAAGATCATTTGGGGTGTCTTGATCCTGAACAAGCAATGCAGGCCCTTACAACGAACTATTGTAGCCAACATTTTTGGTCCAGGTCCCTCTGTTTTAGTCCACACACTACCTTTTGGAAACCTCGAGGGTGGTGATAGTGAATCAATTATTGTATTTATTACTGACATACTTGAACAAAAGAACTTATTGTCAGGCAGCATGTTTAGAAACGGTATGGCTCACTTTCTTAGGAAATAGACATTGTCACATTTCACACAAGTTTCAAGAAACTTGTGTGAAATGTGACAATGTCTGTTTCCTAAGAAATAGACATTGTCTACACAGAATAAGGGATATTTCAATGCCGTTTAAAAATCAGGGGACGGGAAACGGCCAGTCAATGTCTGGTTCTTTTAGGGGAAGTGGTGTGATCTCAGGCAATTACAGGAATGGATCTAAGGGACGTCTGGTTCTTTTAGAGGAAGTGGCGTGATCTCAGGCAATTACAGGAATGGATCTTAAAAGTGAAAGGGCTGCCTCTCTTGTTCATTTTGGGCAGCTCTTTTCACTGCAGGGCTGCAACCTGTTGTGGAATCAGCTTGGCAGTCCCTATGATTTGAACAAACTGCCCTGAGCTTCTGAGACTGAGGGTGAGACGTATCTGTCATGGCAAGCGGCCTGAGCTCTCGAAAAGCCGGTTGCTCCTGTATTGCTGTACTTTAGGGCAGGGCGAGAACTTCGCGGTGGAGAAGGGTTTGATGGACATCGAGAAGCAGAGAAACCACTTGCGAGTAAGCAAACCTCTCTTCATCTGTATTTCTTCTGCTGAGCAGTGTACATACAGGTGTAAAATGAGGTCAGCTCCCAATGCTAGGTGGTTTCTACCATCATTTGATTGTTTACCCTGACACTTCCCTGATTGTTAATGCTACCAGTTGTCCTTTTTTTTAAAAAATGAATCGCTTTACAGTGGTGCCTCGCTTAATGACGATAATGCGTTCTAGGAAAATCACCGTAAAGCGAAAACATTGTAAAGCGAAAACAAAAACCCCATTGAAACGCATTGAAACTCGTTCAATGCGTTCCAATGGGGTAAAAACTCACCGTCCAGCGAAGATCCTCCATATGGCAGCCATTTTCACTGCTTATATAGCGAGGAATCCATCCCTAAACATAGCAGGGAGCTATTTTAATTACCCGATGGCCATTTTGAAACCGCCAATCAGCTGTTCTAAAAACATTGTTTTGCGAAGAATCGGTTCCCCAATTGGTTCCATAGGGAACCGATCATTGCTAAGCAAAATTCCCCCATTTAGATCATTGCAAAAAGATAGTCATAAAGCGGATTTGTCGTAATGCGGGCAATCGTTAAGCGATGAACCACTGTTGTGTTTTAATTATTTTAGTAATTGGCTTTGTAAAGATAGTCGTTAAGTGGATTTGTCGTAATGTGGGCAATCGTTAAGCGAGGAACCACTGTTCTGTTTTAATTATTTTAGTAATTGGCTTTGTTGCATTTGTCCTAAATCACTTTTTAAAAAGAAACAATTAAAAAAAGAACCACAAAAATTTGTATAAAAATACCATCTGTATATAGTCACAATGCTCCAAATTAAAATGAATATCATCAATTCATCTCTTAGGTTTCAAATATTTTTTAAAATCATAAATTATAAAAATTTAGAGATCTTTTGGTATGTAATGCCAACTTTGTCATAAATAAAGACAAGTGTGTGCAAAAATGTGGAACTCTCCTCTTTTTTTGCTGAATAAAGAAGATCTAGTTATAGGTACACACAGAAATAAATTCAAATACGGGGTGGAACTCAGTGCAGAAAGTTCCAAATTAAGTCCTTGGAAATACAAAAGTAAAGCTGGGATATCGTCAAGTTGTCAGGCCCAAGTCGGAATCTGAGTCTTCGGGCCCGAGTCCAAGTCTAAATCTGCACAAATTGGTCTGCAAAGTAGGAATTGTATGCCATAAGCATTGACCCTGATAGCTCAGTAGGTTGGAGCGGTGGGGGCCAGGAGTCTGATTTCCCACTATACCTCCATGTGACCTTGGGCAAGCTACGTGATCCCAGTGCATACCTAAAAGAAGAAAACAATAAACTACATCGGAGTATTTTTTAGACCTAGAAGTCCTGTTGAAATTGGATTTGACGATTTGATTTTGGTTCATGCCTGGGGGGAGGGAAACTACCTGCTCTTGTTGCACCAGGGCTGTCGCCAACAGGACCACCTAGGGAGGCGATGGGGGCCTTGAGAAGGGGGCAGGCCGGCACCCGTCTTGCTGAATGCAAAACGAAGCACTGTTTGGGAAAAAGTTCAGCACTTTGTTTTGGCAAAACAGGTTGCATGAACCAAACCACAAACTGAAGCATGAACCAGCCCTGGTTGGTGTTTTTCCCCAGTTCATAGTTCTGTCCCTCTCAACCTGTAACATCAAACATCTCCCTCTGCCCCGATCCAAGGGAGGTGACTGGACTAGGAGGGCACGTCTCCCTCCCTGCCTCCCAGATTTTCTGCAATGCAAGCCATAGTTTCAGTGGATCCATTTATTTTATTCCAGAGTTGCCCTCCACCTATCAAGCCTTTAGTCAAGCGAAGCAAGTTTGGTCCAGCAAAAAATATTTTCTTTTTCTTTTTGTTTCCCCTTCCATCCTATTAGCTTTGAAGTCAACTAGACAGGGACCTCTGGAGGCAAAAGGCAGGTACTGCACACATTTTCCAGTGAGAAAAAAAAAAGGAGTCTCAGCACACCAGACCTTCAGCAGGGGTTACATGACGACGGCATGACAGCACCTGAGAATGGCCAGGAAAAGTATTCTGCCTCAAGCTGTGACTACATTGGAAAGCCAAATCAGAGAAAATCTGGCTTTGCTTTGATTCATAGCCTACATTTTGGCTGGATTCGTACTCAGCATTAATGTGGCAGGGTGATATAGCGCTAGTCTCATATACAGTGGTGCCCCGCATAGCGATGTTAATCTGTTCCGGATTAATCGTCGCTATAAGGAAACATCGCTAAACGGAACGGAAAAAGCCATAGGAACGCGTTAAATGAAGTTCAATGCGTTCCTATGGGGCCCAAACTCACAGTTCAGCGAAGTCCCTCCATAGCACCGCCATTTTTGCGCCCTCGGTGAGGGCAGGGCGCAAAAACACTTGCGGCGGCCATTTTGGGCACCCGGCAGCCATTTTGGAACCGCCAATCAGCTGTTCTAGGAACATCGCAATGCGATGTTTTACCCATTAAAACGTCGCAATGCGATCGCATTAGCAATCTAAAAAAATATCCAGTCCATTACTGACGCCAGACACTGATCTAGAGCTGAAACAGGTTCCTTGGATTTATGTGGAAAGGAAATACCGAGTTGGGGATGTCACATATTATTTATTTACTCATTTACTTACTTACCTACATACCTTTACCGCCCCATCACTGCACAGCACTATTTTGGGCGGTGTACATATAAAACTTGGTGACACTAAAATCCAAAATTCCAGACAACCTATCCTAGCGGTTTCATGTAGATGTTAAATAGCATAGGAGACAAAAGAGAATCCTGAGGAACCCCCAAAGCCAACAACCAGGTTGGGGGGGTCCCCCAGCACCACCCACTTTCTCCCCTATGGGAAGAACCGAAGCCACTGTAAAACAGTGTCTCCCATTCCCATCCTAGAGAATCAGGCCAAAATAATAATACATGGTCAATAATACAGTGGTACCTCGACTTATGAACTTAATCCGTTTTGGAATGGTGTTCGTACATCGAAAAGTTCATAAGTTGAAGTACCATTTTCCATTGAAATGCATGGGAACGGAATTAATCCGCTCCAGCATTTCAAAAAATTACCTTCAGAGGTCTCAAAGGGCTTTGCGCCCGACATCGGAGGAAGCCCTTTGAGAGCTCCGAAGGCAAAAAGGCAGGGTGAAAGGGCGGGGAATTCGAGTTTCCAGCCCTTTCTTTTTGCCTTTGGAGCTCTCAAAGGGCTTCCTCCAATGATGGGGGGAAAGCCCTTTGAGACCCCCGAAGGCGACGAATGGTTCCGTTCGCAAAAAATGCCATTGACTTGCGAACGGAGCCTCGACCTCATTCGTAGGTCGAGGCTCTGTTCACAAGTCAATGTTGATTTTTGTGAACGGAGCCGTTTGTACATCAAAAGTTCGTATGTAGGGGGAACATTCGTAAGTCGAAGGTTGACTGTATTGAAAACCACTGAGATATCCAGCAGAACCAACAGAGACACACTCGCTCTGCCTAGTGTCCAGAACACGTCATCCACCAAGGTGACCAAAGCGGTCTTCGTCCCGTAACCAGGCCTGAAGCCAGATTGAAATGGATCTAGATCCATCTCATCTAGAAACCTCTGGAGCTGGGAAGCCACAACCAGCTCCAGCACCTTGCCCATGAATGGAACTTTAGCAACTAGCTTGTAATGATCCAATATTGTAGGATACAAGGAAGGCTTTTCCAGCAATGATCTTACTTCTGCCTCCTTTAAGCACGCTGGGATCCTACCCTGTTTTAAGAAAACATTAACAACTCCTTCTACCCTCTCTGGCAGCTTTTATGTCAAGAATGGAAAGGACCCAATGTGTGGCAGCTCTCACGTTTCCATATCATCAGGCTGCAAAAACTGAAACTCATCCACAAAGAAGAAGCAGGGGCCATAATTACATCCACAGGATCTGTATTAACTACAGCATCCAAGTCAGAGCAGTTGCAATTTTTCCTTGCAAATTGTTGTGCAAATGTGGCCTACATTTTCTTCCTCTAGGATGGCCTGGATTAGGTCCCTGATCACTTGAAAGAGCTCCGCCGGATGACTCTGCAGATGCAAAAGTGACAGAGAAGAATTACTTTTATGCTGCCATGGAATCGCAACAATCAATCCTACTTCTAGAAAAGCTCGGTAGTAAGCAGCAATGTCCATGTAGCTGAATTAAAGAATCAAGCCATGCCCTCAGTGTATTTTTCTAAGCAAATTGATTTTATTTCTGTTTATTCACAGATTTACACACATACACATACAGCTGCTGTCACCTTTATCAATTCAAGAAGGAAGGGGAAACATTCATTGTATGATGATACGGGGTGGGTGGGTTTCACAGTGCAAGAGAACCACAGTTGCCTCCAAAAAGAAACAACATCACACTATCTGACAGAAGTAACATGAGAAGGTTTCACATCTACTAGACTACAGCCAGGTACAACACAATCAGTGATAAGAACACAACCACACTGCAACCTACACAAAGAGAGGAGACCTTCAGCTTCAGCTGTGTCTTCCTCATCTTCAAGATATGTGGACCAAGTAATGCTTGAGGTCCCCTGCCCTAGATATAGAAGAGAACAAGGGCGTTTACTGTCCCTGCTGTTGTGCCACTTTACTAAGACAACTGTTAGGTTAAAAAAAATAAATTAATTAAGAGTCAGACTTCGGAGGAAAACTATGACACTTACTTCATTAGGCTGAAAAAGGAATGTCTTATCAAAAACGAAAACGTCAAAAACAGATAAGTGCTATGCTTTTATTCTTACACACTAATTATGGAATTAACTGATTTCAAAAAGCCATTGCATTTTACACTTTTGCTACATTTGAACACATTCCTGATATGTTTGACTCTTCATAATAAGACTGCCCCCCCCCCCCCACTATCCTCTTTATTATACACAAGCGGAGCAGACATTCTTCAACTGCCTTCTCTCTGGTTAAGGAACTGTCCCTTGTGAACAAACACATGGGTTTCATGCATTATTCATTTTTCTCAATAGAATTCTGACATTCAGACTACTCATCAAATTTGATGCCACCACACTTCAACATTCCTAATTAGGTTGGAAGCTATTCCTAGTTACATTTCATGGCGTTTCTTGATATCTGTTCCAGGATATTCCTGCCTTCCTCAGCCCAGAAGCACTGCTGTCCAGAGTGAGGAAAGGGACTACCTCCCAGAAAACCACTTTGGAACTGCTGCTTCTTAGCCATCAGAATCACAATATTTAGGGTACGAAGCCAGCAGATAGAAGTGTCGCTGGTTTTCATTTTTTTTTTTAAATAGTCAAACTGTGGTGGAAGAAGTTCACCAACTGCAACAAACTACTGGCTTTGTCAGTGAAATATCATGCAATGGCCCTATCATTTCTCGTCCCTATCATCCTGCTAACATAAAGTTGTATCTGCCCTATGTGCTTTGATACTAATTAACTGTCATGGATCCACCATAAGGATTTGTAGTTTGGGAAAGTACTTAGAATCCTCTGGTGTAATTGGAGAAGTGCATTAGAGCCCTCTAGGAGAAAATTCTGAATGCTTCACTGAACGACAAACTCCAGGCTTCCTTAGCACAGGTCCACAGCAGTCAGAATGATGTCAAATTTGTGTAACTGTGAGGTATAAATACACCTACTGCAATTTTATTTGTTAGGCAGGCAGGGTTTGATCTAAATCAGTTGAAAATACAAGGTGAAGAGGCTAAAGCAAACTCTTAAACCATAAAATCTGTAGGAAACCAGATTTTATAATAAGCTAAGTTTATCTTCAAAGATAGAAAGGATTCCCTGAGTCCTTGCAGTCTCCCAGAGGATGAGTACGCTGCTTTGGGCCATCTCTGAGAGGGACACACAACCTCTGTACCTCGCACGGCAGTTTCCTCCCACCTTTTATTTGCTTCTGAAGCAGCTGATGTTTACCCCATTTCCATCCACCAGATGCGTCAACTATGCAAGTGAGCACACAGTCAAGATAAACACGTAAACCAATTAATAATGGGCAAAGAAAAAGTCTTCCAACTTTCCTCTTTATTCTAACTGTGTAGCTATTGGATATGTATCAGGAGCCAGACTCTGCAAAACTCTCTTTGTTCCCCAGTTCAGAGGTGGCAATTCTCATATTCAACTTGACATGGAGAAGGAGCAGATACCCAACTCGTTGTATCTAAAGATGGCAACGTTCCTGTCTTAGAGGAGGACTTTGCTAACAGGAAAGCAACCTGCACTAAAAAAGATGTTATTGATAAAGAGGCAAATGTTGCATGCAAGAAGTCTCCAGGGACTAGGCAGCTGCCTGCAGATTTTCTTGAAGAAATCATCCACTCCCTACCTAATGGAAAGTCGGCAAATACACCAGCCTTTTTTCCCAGCCAGTTATAATGGCTTAACTCTGAAAATGGTGCTGAAGTTCAATGTTAATTGTTTAATACTGTTTCTCAAGCTCCTACATATTTCCTTAAAAGTCCAAACAAACTGCAGCAGCTCGTGTGCCGAAGGGCAAGCTGTTCTCTGCATTATATGTATTGTATGGAACATTAGCTGCCTAAAATTAAACCCACAACCCTTGAAGTCATGATATTACTGATAATGCGGTATCAGAAATGTAAACAGAAAAAACCAGGATGGCTATGTGTCGCACTGAATGCCATCGGCAGAGTAGTGGCACTGCAGACTGACAGGAAGTAGTGATTCCCAAAACACTCAACTTCACCTTCACACAGAGGAATGTCAAATGAATATTGCCCATCAGGACAACAGCCAGCTGCGCATGCATGCACAAACACAGAAACAGACAGACAGACAGACACAGTGCTTTTAAATAGATTTTTGTACAGAGCCTTGTTCTAGAAAACAATGGCTTGAATCAAAAGATCCATTTGCAGTGTTCCACACATGTGCAATGTGATTTCTCCTATCTCCATATCCTTGAGGATTCAGGGCAGCTTCTAGGATGATTGTTGGTCTGAAGCTCAAGGGGAGAAGGGAGAGAAATCAGCAACATAATCCATTCCAGCTGTAACACAGGTCACAGCTTGGATTCAAGTTCATGCTTGTAGGAAGTTTCTGCAAAAAGCAAGAAGTGATATTGCTTGAGAAGTCAGCTGTCGATCTTCATTTTTGCCAGGATCAGAAAGGCATCTGGCTTCTCAGCAGTTTGCCTATGCGACAGTTTTGATATGTCTATGAATCAATTTGGGGTTGGAAGTGAGGTTATTCCCTTACTATCAAAAATACCAAGATATGCATCAAAGTCTGAAGAGGTACCCCTTCCCCAGTAAAAAAAGTTTAAAAAACAATAATTTAGCCCAACTGAAACTGCATATCAAGAACTGCATGGCAAAAGGCTTAAGCCCTGAATGTATGGAAGTGCAATCCTTCAAGCTACTTTCTAAATTACATAAGAAACCCATAGATTGTGGTCCCAAAAATAGCTTGGCTCTTGCAACTGAACTGGGCTCAGAGTCATACTTCTGGAATCAGGCAATTCCCTTAGTTGCTCATAGTGTCCTTGAACCCCCAAACCTCCATAATAGCGATCTGGAAATTTTCAGAGCACAGTGGTTGATTGTTGAAAGTGTTGCAGTGGCCAGTTCTTCCATGGTTCAGATCTGCATCAATGTAGAGAGCCTGGCCATCCCCACCTCCTGCAGAGAAGAGATCTGAGTTATGTTTTCAATCTGGATCAAAATAAGAAGCAGAAACATCCATCCCATGCTCTGTTTGCATTACTCTTGCAGACACAGGATGGCACTTACATCTGCTCATATGTGAAAATATAATCACGTGAACACTCTGTAGTTCAGCTTCAAACCCCCGCCCCCCCGCAACTGCTATAGAGTGAAGGGTTCATCACTTCTTGTTCCGGCACACATATAGTTATGGATACCGTTGCCTTCAGCTCTCGCATCTAGACCTATCAATTTGGACCAAATGATAAATGTCTGAGGACGTGGTGGCGCGCAGAAGCCTGTGCTGCAGGGTCAGAAGACCAGCAGTCGTAAGATTAAATCCACGCGACGGAGTGAGTGCCCGTCACTTGTCCCAGCTCCCGCCAACCTAGCGGTTCGAAAGCATGCAAATGCAGTAGATCAATTGGGACCACCTCGGTGGGAAGGTTAACAGCATTCCGTGTCTAAGTCGCACTGGCCATGTGACCACGGAAGATTGTCTTCGGACAAAAACGCTGGCTCTATGGCTTGGAAACGGGGATGAGCACCGCCCCCTAGAGTCGGACACGACTGGACAAAAATTGTCAAGGGGAACCTTTACCTATAAATGTCTGAAGAAATGGGCAATACATACAGAGCAGATACAGGTAGCTTCATTGGGGGTTTGTAAGCTGCATCTCTGATGTTATCTGGAAGTTGAGTCATAGCAACTGGACTTCTTATTAGGTTGAAATGTTTTGCTACTTCTCCAAGTAGCTTCTTCAGTCTGAAGAGAGTTGGTAGGAGACCCCTGATAGATCCTCCATGTTGGTTTCAATTGGAGGAGATACCAGGGGGTCTCCTACCAACTCTCCTCAGACTGAAGAAGTTGCTTGGAGGAGTAGCGAAACATTTCAACCTAATAAGAAAGAAGTCCAGTTGCCATGACTCAGCTTCCAGATAACCTCACTTGGATAAGTGAGAATCTGCACAGATTTCTCACTGATATTAAAATCAGAAGTGACAAGAAGTTCATTAAAACACACACACAAAACAACAACCAGAAAGATTTGTGCCCACAACAATAGTAAAGGGAAACCCTGTTCATATGATCTCTTCAGAGTTCCAGCTTTGTGGTTACAGAACTGCCTCATACCACAAACTGCAGAAGGCAATGAAACATGCAAGAAGGAGCAATCAAGCAAATGATGTCATGATTTAAGAGACATTTAAGAAAATTTGGATTTAAAAAAAGCAAATCAAGTGTTGCATGTTGGACTTGTCTGTTACCAACCTGGCTTTTAGCACTGCAGGGTTAATTCTAGTAAAATATCAGACTGATTAGTGAATGTTTATTTCATTTTTATCGCAGTTCTGAGGTTAAAAAATTCAGTTCTGAGGTTAAAAAAAATTGCCTGTACTTGTGCATCTATGAGAATAGCATTTATACTTGCATTCATTTCTCTCCTTTGAACTAACATGCAAGCAGTAGATGTGCAAAGACTTACTTACCTATGATGATGCATTCAATCCCACCAGCCATAAACATGGATGCTGCTTTGGAAGGAAGATTGAAGTGCCGGGCAGAAAGGAAGGGGGAAAGCCGGTCTGACGGATCTGAAGGGAGGCTGGTTGAAGATGGAGGGTCAGAAATTTGGGAGGAATTGTTTCCTTGCTCAGATGTGGTCACAGCTAGTTCTGGATGCTTGATTATTACCCACTCATAGCGTTCCACTTCTGGAACCAGCTAGAAAGAAGATAGATGAAATTGTTGAGAAATTATCTGTCAACACTGAAATTTACCTGTGGTTCTCTTCTCACCACAGGATTTGTATTCTGAGAAAATCTTTTTAGGGTGAATTAGGTTTCATTCAAGTGCCTTTTGAGGTTCTACATTCCAAATTGGGTAGTTACTGAGCTTCGTGATGTAGTGGTTAAACTGCAATAACTGAAGCCAAGCTTCTGCTCCTGACCTGAGTTTGATCCGGATGGGCTCCGGCAGCCAGCTCAGGGTTGACACAGCCTTCCATCCTTCTGAGATCAGTAACCCGAGTACCCACCATGCTGACGGGGCGGCAATGTGTAGCCAGCTTAATTAAATTGTAAACTGTCCAGAGTCCTGTAAGAACAGGTGGCAGCATATAAGCTAGTTATTAGACTTATATTCTGTTGTTCTTTCAGAAAACCTGGAACAGTCATAAATTCCAAAGTGCCACACTACGTTCCTGAGAGAATATAAAAGTTGAATAACTGTTTTTGATCCATGTAGACAAACCAATTCTAGGAAATTTCATAATCATCAGGATGTAAATCTAAGGCTTTGGTAAAGTCTTAACAGCCCATTCAAGACCAATGTACCCATTGATACATTGCATTGAGAGAGAAAGGGGTCACAACTTATACTGATGCTGGGAGAAGAGCCTAGCCAAAGGTGGCAGAATGATACCACTGCCCTTGCTCATCAGAAAGTGCAAGCTCCAGAACAAAGCCTTCCATCTAATGATAATTATAGGACTGGATAACTCAGAGGTCAAATCCAGATATACCATGAAAGGGTCAAGAGAGAGCTGGTTCCTCTCCAAGAAGGATCCATAATATTCTGGGGACAGCAATGCCTTCTGAAGAGCAAAGCATCACTACTATCCTCCACAGGCCCATGCTCTACATCTATAAAGAAAATAATAAAATACTGGTTCATTAAAAAAAACGAACTCCTTAAACATGTCATTACTTGAGATAACAGCCACTATCTAAGGTCAAAATCCAAGGACTAGAGTAGAGGCTTCTGACTTACCAGTCAAAAGATGGCTGTTTCTCAATAGAGGAAGGAGGGAGCAAAATGGGGCAGAGAGAAGCGGGTGTAGAAGGGGGGTGAGTGGGAGGGAGAAGAGCACACTTTTTTCTTACCCTGAAAACAAAACATTCCCCTGTCCCAAAGTAACTCAGCTTGTTTCCTCCTCGTTTGCGTTCATTCCAGTCGGTTGACAAATAAGCACCACATACCTAGGATAATAACAATCCAAAAATCAAATGCTTGAAGCTTAATCCATTCCAGGATAGGCACTTGGCTGGTCTTAGTTGTGAAATGCAGCAGATGTGTACATCTTACATGTACTTTTATCTGGGAGATGTGTGTGGCTGCAGCTTCCAGCTGGAAAGCTACTGTAGATTTACCTTTGAGAGGGCTGGAGTGTGAGCACAGCAAATTAGACTTGAAGCTGGTCTACAATTGTCATCCAAGACCACCTTTTACATCTGTCCATGCAGAATATAAACACAGCCCTCCAGCCTCTCTCTCTCTCTCTCTACTTTATGCTCTCTTGACATAGAGCGTTAGGTGGGAATTGGTGAGAATCTCATTTCGTCTGTTTACTGAAATGAGGTTTCCAAACTTCACCAATTACTTCATGAATTGAGCAGGAAGAGTTTGACATTTAAAAAGTTCAAATATGCAAATGATTAAAAAAAACTGATCCATTCAGACAGAGGAATCTACAGGCTTAGTTCTAAGAAAACTTGTTTTTAATCCCTGTTTATTCAAACCATTACAGCCGAAATATAGCCACCAGCTATACTGGGAACAGTAATGCTAACTAATTTGGTCCATGCAGAAGGTTGAGACTTTCACTGGTTTCATTTTTGCTAAAAACTTGCCAAAATCTGCATATTTCTTCATCAATCTGAAGGAAAGCCCTTGTGGTTAAAACTAGCTGAATGGGGAAGAAAGAGAAAAGAGGTTGCTTACCAGCAATGCTTGATCTTCTAGGGCTCATCTCTGCACTCATACAGAGATGACTACACAATCATTCATTCTAGCCGGGAGGGGCCTAATGCCGAGGGAGGCCCAGAGAGAAGGAACAAGAAACCAGGCCTTCTCGGCAGTGGCCCCTTGCCTTTGGAACAGTCTACCCCCAGAAATTTGTTTGGCTCCCTCGCTGGATGTTTTAAGAGCAAACTTAAGACCTGGCTCTTTAGGCAGGCCTTCCCTCCTGTCATTACAGTACTTCACTTATTTTTGCCATCTTGAATCATGTTGTTGTTTTATTTTATACTGTTACTGGTTTTATGAATGTTTTGTTAGCCGCTCAGAGTAGACTTTGGTCTAGACGGCTGGGGTATAAAATAAAATACCGATAGATCTGTGCCTGCACAGAATCCCACTATTTGGAACCTAATAATGGGAGCAGCTCTCCTCCTCCTATCTATAATGCCCCTAGCATTGTGCTGCCCCTTAGGTCAGAATCTGGCCAACAAAGTGGCAGAACATTAGTTGATCGGAGGTGCCAGAGAGGAGAGGACAGGCTAGTAGAAACACTGACTTCACAAGTCCATGGGAAATTGTTTGAAATAAAGTGTATTCAATGATGTGTGTAACCATATCAGAGATTTCTAGGGTGTTCCTCCTTTGTTCGTCTTTCTCTAGTAGCTGCAGGAAAGGGATGGGCCACAGTTCAGTTAAACATACAGAATCTACAAAACATACAGAATCTACAGTATTACTTGCTCGACCAAACACACCTCCTGTTTGGTTGTCTTAATCAGAAGAAGAGTTGGTTCATGTCCCTCACAATGTGAATAGAATCTGCAAAGAGAAACAGAGAACGTGGGACTGAAATGAGATTATTAGAAGTACAGTACTGGTTTTAACTTTATTTATTTATTTATTTAAAATTATTTAAAATAAAGTCGCACAATAACAATCCAGCCACTGTCTTGTGGTGTTCTTTACCCCCTGGTTCCTTCTGTAAACATGTAAGGAAGAAAGCCAGTACCTGCTTAGACTGCAACCATGCTCGGAGGTAGTGAAAAGCAGCAAAGGCTGGCAAAGTGCAAAACGTTCGGGAATCCACGACCAGATGTCCCTCATCTTCTTTACATCAACAATTTCAGACTTGAAGTTTTCTGCATGAACAGCCAAGTGGACATTCTGTCTGCGGAACGACAGCATTAACGTTTAGAGAAAGATGGAGGAACAAATAGACCGAAAACACAAGGGCCAGTTCAACCCTTGCCTATGCCAAGGAACAGCCATTTCCAGGCACCCAGAAGGTATCATAGCATCCCTAAGTTAGCTTGCATACCATGATTAATCAACCAGAGATATGTCAGCAGAAGGACTAGTAATTTGGCAAGCAGAAAAATTACCCCACACAACAGAAAAACCAATGAAGGGTCAAAAATCCCAAACAGATGCTATACTAAGCAACGTGTTTGAGACAGATATATCTTTAGCTCTTGTAAAAGAAGACTAAACATTTTGCCCTTCCGTTGTCTTCATATAAATTCTTTAAATATGTTTACAAGCTGGCCAGATTCCGTCACCAAAGCCATAATCATGGAAGGAAAATGAAGCATTCAGATTATAACAAAATTTAGAGATGAGTGCTATAATTCAAAATTTGTAGAACTAGCGAGTAGCAGCTTGGTTTTACTCAAGACCCCAAAGCAAAACTTTAATCAGAGTAAAATACATATAGCCTAAAAGGTGATAAGGTGAGTCACTGACCAGGAAATGATATGAATACCCTCAGGCTGCTAAAGTAAATTCTCTTATAACCACTGCCCAAGTTATAACGGCCAAAATCCTGCAGCGTAACTCAAGAATGTTGGCAACTCCTTGAGTCAAAGTCCTGAGTCCCAAGTCCCAGCCCTATTAAAAATAAGGTTTTTTCCCACAGAAAAATTGAGGAGGTGGATGAGTTGGGAATCGAGTCCAAGTCATTGGGGGGGGGGGAGACAACAATTACAAGGTGACACACTGGTGCAATTTAAATCTGACTAGATAGTGAGTTCTGTGACTTGAGTCCCCATCCCTGGTGCAACTACACATGGTGGAAGTGCTGGTCCCAAAGAACTGTGCAACTGGTTGTGCTGGAATGTGTGACTGATTTGCACAATTGCATAGCACAGCTCCTTGTTGCCAAGCATAATGCCCATCACATTTATACAGGTGCAACTTTATGTTATGCCAGCATTAACAAGATACTGCCCAATGTACTGCAGTGGAGAATATCTCCCTGGGTCTGTATCCAACAAAGAAGTCCTGTATTCTCGAAGGCTTTCACGGCCGGGATCTGATGGTTGTTGCGGATTTTTCAGGCTCTTTGGCCGTGTTCTGAAGGTTGTTCTTCCTGACATTTTGCCAGTCTCTGTGGCCAGCATCTTCAGAGGACTGGCTGTTCTTCCTGACGTTTCGCCAATCTCTGTGGTCGGCATCTTCAGAGGAACAGGAGTAGGAACTCTGTCAGAGCATGGACAGAACTCAACAGATGCCTTCAGAACACGGCCAAAGAGCCCGAAAAACCCACAACAACCAAAAGACGTCCTGTGTTGGCAGTATTGGGTTATAATCTACGGAACCTCATGACACAGTGTATATATTTGTCTTTAAAAAGCCACAGGACTCTGTTATTCGTCTTCATGGCCTTGCTATAAAGAAATGGCAACCTCCTCCCCAGCATCAGGAAAGGATGGGTTATCACTGATAAAGGATGTCGCTGAAAAAGAACTCCGAGATAGGAGATCACTTCTCTCTGCTTTGCACAGGGCTGTATCCTTGTTTGTTTTGGATAGATGGATAGATTCCATCCAATATCTTATGATCCCAGGAAGAATGCAGCAAGATATATATTTAAAATGTAAGCTTTTGAAACCATTTAAAACCATACACATTTAGAACTAATGACAATAAGGAAACCTACTACCTCAATCTCTGAAGGCCTTGGTAAATAATCACATTTTCATTTGGTGCCAAAATGAGATTGACGTGTCAGTGGAGGCTCTAAGCAGAGAGCATTCCATAACTAGGTTGCTACAGCCAAGAAACCTTTACCCGATGTCTCTACATAGTGGACTGTTCTCTGTAGTGGGACATGGAGGAACTCTCCCCCCAGCAGATCTTAGTGATTGGAGAAGTGTTTCCTCAAACATCCAGGTTCCAAGCCATTTAGGGCTTTATAGGCTACTATCAACACTTTGAACTTAGATGGGAAACATGCTGGCAGCCAATGCAATTCTTTCAGAACTGGTGCTATTTGAGCTCTGAAAAGTGTTCCTGCCAATAATTGTTGTTGTTGTTGTTTAGTCGTGTCCGACTCTTCATGACCCCATGGACCAGAGCATGCCAGGCCCTCCTGTCTTCCACTGCCTTCCAGAGTTGGTTTAAATTCATATTGGTCGCTTCGATGACACTGTCCAACCATTTCATCCTCTGTCGTCCCCTTCTCCTCCCGCCTTCACATTTTCCCAACATTAGCGTCTTTTCCAGGGAGTCTTCTCTTCTCATGAGATGGCCAAAGTATTGGAGCCTCAGCTTCAGGATCTGTCCTTCCAGTGAGTACTCAGGGTTGATTTCCTTTAGAATGGATAGGTTTGTTCTCCTTGCAGTCCAAGGAGCCTCCTCCAACACTACAATTCAAAAGCATCAATTCTTCGGCAGTCGGCTTTCTTTATGGTCCAGCTCTCACTTCCGTACATCGCTACAGGGAAAACCATAGCTTTGACTATTCGGACTTTTGTTGGCAAGGTGATGTCTCTGCTTTTTAAGATGCTATCGAGGTTTGTCATCACTTTCCTCCCAAGGAGCAGGCGTCTTTTAATTTCAGAGCTGCTGTCACCATCTGCAGTGATCATGGAGCCCAAGAAAGTGAAATCTGTCACTGCCTCCATATCCTCCCCTTCTATTTGCCAGGAGGTGATGGGACCAGTGGCCATTATCTTAGTTTTTTTGATGTTGAGCTTCAGACCGTTTTTTGCACTCTCCTCTTTCACCCTCATTACAAGGTTCCTTAATTCCTCCTCTGATCTAGCTGTTGCATATTGCACTGGCAGCAGTGTTTTTGTGTCATCTACAAGGCAGCCCCATGTAAAATTATACTAGTCTAACTGGGGGGTTATGACTAGAGATGGTGGTATTCGTATACGAACACGAATATCCCCATGGGGCTGGACCCTCGTTATTTCCATCTGTGTGGGGAATATTCGTATTCGTATACAAATACCCCGATCTCAAGTTATGACTGTATCCTGGTTGTTCCTGTTAGGACTGTGATTCAATATATGTCCAACAACTCTAGTTTACGGACAAGAATTGTGCCTGATGGACACTATTCATGTGCACAGTACCATAAGACTTACAAGAATGCAACATGATTCCACTGCTGTTGCAATTCCAGTTTATGTAGAATCCCTGAGAAGGTATCAGCAAAATCCAGCTGGCATGGTAATACTGATGCAAGCTACAACTACAACGTATGCTCTCTTCCACACCCTTCTCTTCCCTTTCATATAGAAGCTGGATGCCATCATGAGGTTTTTTTTTTACTCTGGGTGCAGTAGTTCTCAACAATGACGTGATACATCTAAAATATTCTCCAAGATAATTCAGACAATAAGTGTTTACTGTTCCTGCACAGGTTTTCTGATTTATTTTACCCCGAAAGGTAGCTCTAAACTTCTGTACTTTTTTGTTCCTTATTACATGACCAAAGTATTTTAGCTTTCTGTTGTAAGATTTCTTGGTCTCTGCTCACCTGCTTTAGTATTTCTTCACTATTCACTCTGTTGATCCAAGAATTTTTTTTTTGCATCTTGTGATTAATTCACATTTCAAGTGCTTCTGCATTTTTATTGCTTCTTGTGTTTAAGTCTACAGCTCCATGCTATACAGTAGAACTGAGAATATGCTCGTCTTACAATGCACATTCTTACATCAAGTTTTTATTGCACATTACAGTCTTTGCCTTAGAGATGCTGCTGCAGGCCAACTTCGCTTTCACTTTTGTTCTGTTTTTACACTGACAAGTCACCTCTGGCTTATGACGATCCTATGAATAAGCAATTTCCAAAATGACCTGTCCTTGACAGCTCCATTTTAATCTGATGATTTAAGCTTATAGTTCTGCAGCCACAGCAAGCTTTGGTGTTTTCATTTTCGGATAATGTAATAAAGACTAATCTCAGCCAAATTTCACAAATGATTCCTTTTCTGCGGATTTGATTGAAGATCTACTTTAAAAGGCTACAGTGTCAACTTCTATTAGCTTTAATAATTTTGGAAACACACCATTGAGTCCAGCAGGTTTCCTGTTTTTTAAAAAGTTTTATTGTTTTTAGACTTTGTAGTTCTGCATTTCTGGACCCGTGCAAACAGGTGGTACAATGCATTTGGCTATTGCAATCTTCCAAACAGCTCTTTAAGATGCTCACTCCATACTATGACTTTATCCCTGGCATCACATATCAGAGAATTATTTCCGTTTATCAATGAGAAGCATTAGTAGTCTGACCATGACTACTATCTTTCCTTTTTCCTGTGCACATTACACATCTTCTCTAGGTTTTCTGCTTCTTACAGTGGGCCATCATTTTTCTTTGGCATCTCTAATTACATTCCATATGCTTTTTTGAGCAAATTTGTATTTGAGCAAATTTGTATCTTCATTTTTTTTTGTTTTTATCTCCCTTTCATTAGCTGTTAAATTTCTTTGGTTATCCATTTTTTAAAAATCTACCTTTGTTCCTTAGATGCTGTTACTGGTTGGATCTGCCAATATCTGTGTCAGTTTACAGCAAGTAACTTTTGTATCTGAACTACAGTATATGAGTGTGCAAATCTTACTGATGTCTTAATGAATTCTCCTCAACCACAGTATATACAGCTAGATCTTACTACTTTGACTCCTGTAATTATTCTGTTTTGACTTGTTAACATTTTCTTTAGTTTTATATGAAATACAGGAACTACCAGATTATGATCTGAATTTGATTTGTTAAATAATTGTAACACTGCTCAGATGCTTCTGAGATAATCTGTTTGTTGCTTGTGCCATCTTGTGGGGATTTCCATGAATATCATGTCCTCCATGGTAATTTGAATGTGCTGTCACTATTTACAAGTTTTTCTTCAGAGAATTATATAATTCATGCTCCATATTCATTTTGCATTCCCAGTCTGTATTTTCCAACAAGTCCTCCTCAAACTCGTTTCTCTATCTTAGCATTAAAATCCATTATGAAATTTAGATGATTTTCCCTCATGTACTTTATAACAGCTTTGTAGTATTTTTCTGTTTTATCTCCATCAGTCATTCAGACATACACGTGTATGATGTTCATGTCTATGGGATTTGTTTTTCACTGGATAAATATTACCTGGTTTGTGTAAAGAATAAAGTTTGTGTAAAGAATAAAGAGCTGAAGTCACGTCTCTTGTTATTACAGTAGCAACTCCACAATGGTGCTGTACATTATTATTGCACAAATAAAGCACAGTATGTGGCTATGTTCTGGCCAAAGAACTCCACTTTCTCCAAGGATCTGAATATTCTTACGTTTCACTTCTTCTCCTGTGCTTCACTACAATGCCCATTTTTGGTGCAGGTAAGGGACCCAAAGTTGTCCTACTGTGGTTCCTTGAATGTTGTTCCTCAACTTGGGGCCTCTTCGGCTTGATCCAAATATCTGTCTTGTCTATACAGATGGTGATCCATAGGGTCCCTTCCAGTTCTGAGGTTATTATTCATCCAGTACAAGCAAACGGTATGGTTCCCTAGTAATGTGTGATCCATGTATGCAGTCCTGTAAGGCTCTCTAAACAAACTGTTGTGTTTGTGCTGTAAGACTAACTGCTAATACGTACTTCAAAGGCTTAAGATGTCAATGTTTAGGCAGATCAGGCTTATGATCATCCAATGATTGCTTGCCTAGGCAAACAGACTGTGTACTTGTGCCAAAGCTGAGTGATTAACACACACACACACACACACACGCCTAGGTGAGAAACTCATGTGACTTCACAGTTGGTCTCTCATCTATAGGATCAGAGGTGAAACACATGGCTCTGCACATCTTAAAAGGAATGCAAGAGTCCAAGCCCTCAGGAAGGAATAAAAAGGGGGTGAAGTCAAGGCCAAGGCCGTGGAAACTAATTTTAGTACTACATCACCAAGAATCCCCTGGGAAGCATGACCATGGTAACTGGAGGAAAAAGGAGAACCAAGAAATTGATTCAACAAGATTCAGAGGATGATGGAACTCGGCCAACCTTTTCCATCTCAAACACCTTTGTGGAAAGACAGAGAGTTTTGAAACCAGAATACAGTAGGACGAGCAAGTGTCAAAAGGAGAGAGGGTGAATAAAAGCAGGGCTCAGAATAACACTGTGAATGTAAGAATCATTACAACGAAGCAGGTAAGTGATCACATTACAAGAAGTAACCACAGACCAGTGGTTCTCAAACCTGAGGCCCTAAATGTTCTTGGACTACCATCTCCAGAACTCCTGGCTATCTAGGGCTTCTGGGAGTTGTATCTGAAGAACATTTCATGCTCCAAGTTTAGGAACCACTGGCATAGACAAACAAATCCATGGTGGGGTTAAAGTTCCATTCCAAGAGTGTGATGGGCTTGTGGAAAGCATGAATGGCTTTCTCACAGTAACTCAGCCTCAATCCTTGAAACAGCTTCAGAGAAAAACAGGAAGGAGACACATTATATGCCTACAATGCAACACGAGCAACTGGCTGCTAACATACGTTCTTATAATAAGCAACAAAACAACATCATAGGTAGAAAAGTTCAGTAGGTAGTTATCACTGTTAAAAATCTGATACTGATTCCACAGCTGGAAAAGGTTGCTTTTTTGGATTACATTCCAAAGAATCCTACAGCCAGGAACTGCAGTCCAAAAAAAGTAACATTTTCTATCTGCGACACAACATAGTTTTCCCTGCAGTGTTATCAGGTCAGAGCAGGCTTATCATCAAAATCCATGAGCTCCAAGGCTGCATGGATAAGTTAGGCTAGACTACAATGCAGACCTTGCGCACCAAAGCTTGATAGTAGAACTGATGAAACTCATACATCGTTGAGTTTCTCCCCAGTGCCATTTCTTGCCACCCAAGCAATTAGTAGCAAAAACAGCCATTAGGAAGCAAAGCGAAAGCAGATGAGGGCAGCAGAACATGAGGAACGAAATCTTTAAACCTACCTTTTAGGGGATGCAATGCTACAAAGAAGAGGTGCAGCAGACACGGAATTGACAGAAGAAGAAAGCAGGAGGAGGGAAAGAAAGAAAGAAAAAAAGAAACCAAGAGAACAAGATCAGAAATTTCATATATCCCCACCAAATAGTTTAAGGATAGTTGCACATTCATCATTTATCAGTTCTTGAGTCCTTCTTTGTTACCCAAATCTTGTGATTGTGTTTATTTTCACATGATCTCCTTGTACACCACAACTTCTTCTTCACCAGCAGAGACTTTGAATGTGCAAGCAAGCATCTGTTCTCTACCAGCTGTTTTTCCATTCATGATTTTTTTGCCCACTGGATTTCAGATGCAGGAAGGAGAGGCAGCCAGTGAACTGGCTGATGAAGCCTCTGTATCCCTTTACTATCATACATAAATGGATAGTTCCTGAGGATGCGCCTCTGTTGAAATGCCAGAGCCTTGGTTACACACATAGCTGTGGTGTGATAGCCAGGCAACAGGTACCTGAGCTGTAGTTTAAAAAACACACCTCCAATGTAACCTGATTTTTTTCTAACTTACCTCTAAAAAAAACCAAGCCTAGCACAACCATCTGCCATGAACTTTTGGGACTCAAATTTCTCTGCACTATCAACAAGGTACTGGTGCATGCCTGACGAAGTGGATTTTGATCCATAAAAGCAGCAGATTGCTTAATTTTTTTAGTGATCTAATGAAGATGTCGCTGGCTGGATAGCTCAGAGGTTGGGGGTTCAATTCCCCACTAAAAAAAACCAAGCCTAGCACAACCATCTGCCATGAACTTTTGGGACTCAAATTTCTCTGCACTATCAACAAGGTACTGGTGCATGCCTGACGAAGTGGATTTTGATCCATAAAAGCAGCAGATTGCTTAATTTTTTTAGTGATCTAATGAAGATGTCGCTGGCTGGATAGCTCAGAGGTTGGGGGTTCAATTCCCCACTGTGCCTCTAATGATGTCACTGGCTGGATAGCTCAAAGGTTGGGGGTTCAATTCCCCACTGTGCCTCTAAGAGAAGGATCTGACTTTGGGCAAGCTCCGAGGATGCCCCCAGATAAAGGGCCTGGAAAACACTTATGAGTACTGTATTCTCTATCTGGAAAACCATGAAAAGGGTCATCATAAGTCAGAACTGATTTGACAACATATTGTTATTGTTGTCATCGTCACCATCAGAAACATATTTAGAAAGCTGGGAACACAAGTGGACAAAAGCATCCTTTGTTATCAGCAGGCGGTATAAAGCCTCTGCATTGGTCAGACCTCATATAAATAGGAGGATCCTAGTAAGGTCTATTGAGAGTTTGGAAAAGTTATTTTTTTTAACAGCAACTTCCAGAACCTCCATGTCCCAAAGGCCAACTTTTCCAAGCTAGACTTCTACATTTTCCCATTTAGAGTAACATCATTTCCTTGCAGCAAGGCGATCTTCCAGTAATATCTAGATTAAACCACTCATCTTGGCGTGCATGAAATAAGCAATTATTCTTAAGATTGCAAACAACTTCTCGGAAACTTTACATTTTGGGTCTGCCAACAATTGGGGGATACTTCCACTCCTCAGCTTTATGTTATTATAAAACATTAACTGAGTTCTCCCCTTAAAATTATTAAAAAACCAGCCATGTCTCCTGTCAACCACAGGCCTCATCCAATTTTTACAAGTGCAAAATGCAGTGTTCTAACAGCCTGACCCAGCCCTCTGCAACTTAAAAATTTCTGTAAGAATAGATATAAACTTTCATGTATTTGGGAACAGTTATCAGCCGTGCAAGCAGAGTCTTCGAGAAGCAAATGAAAGGGTATACTGATCAAATATATTTCATTCATACCCTGACTGCTATTTCCACTTTTTGATATTTTTTGTTCATTTTTTATCATTTTTCTGTGTCTCTTATATTTGTATTGGCATCAGTCTGTGTAATACCCAATAATATGAGGCAGGAGTGGTCAACCTGCAGCCATCCAGATGCTGCTGTACTACAACTCCCATCATCTCTCACTACTGCCAAGATTGGGAATCACTGATTTCTACCCTCAGACTTGGGTTGATTTATTACCTGTGTGGTTGCTTTATTACCTGCTTGCCTGTGGGGTCATGAAGCTTGTATTTTGAATGCCTTTCTTTTGAATGTCTCCAGCAAAATAAATCTGAAAGCAAAAGTTCCCAGCCTCTTAAGGAGCCACGGTTCCCTCCCACCCCAGGATGTGTCCTTGTTCGGTCAAAATTGGGAGCAGGGAATCTCCATATTCTCCAGCATGGGATTACTCTACATTCTCCTGCAGAGCTATATCTCTATGTGCCGCTCAAACTCTCTTTTTGCCAGAAGAGGGCAGTTTTCCTTTTGCAATGGGAGGGGGGAGGAGAGGATTACAGAATCAGAGAGAGAGAATCTCTCAGAGAGAGAGAGAGAGGTAGAGGGGAAGGAGGCAGGGAGGGAAGGAGCTGTGAATCCTCAAGCAGCATTTTTCACACATCACAGACAAATGGATGAGTGCATTTTTCAAGCCCTGTTAATACACAAATTGGACTTTTACACTGGCTACACTGAACACACACAGCTTTACAGACATTTTTATTTTCCCGGTACTCAACAGCCTCAAAAGATTTTTAAAAGTCTCTTAGGATATGTATAGGCTCTATTACCTTTTCTGCTTCACTGTTATGCCTTTCTGCTGAAGTGCCTTCTCGTTAGCCATCTGCAAAAGCTGGATCTCCTTCCGTGAAAACAGGCGGATGGCAAAAGCTTTCTCTAGCAGTTTCTCAGGAGACACAGACTTTGCAATGTCTCTTACAAAAGCTCTGATATCTTCCTGTACATTGTCCGATTCCATAGTCTGACCAGCATGGACTTTATGAAAGAATTTGAGAAGAGCCAGTGCAACACGGTAGAGTACTTTGTAGCCCTCGACCAAGAATACATCAAAAACGCGTGCAATGTAAACTAGTGGCAGCTCCCCAAACAACCACCGCTGCCAGTCAGAATAAACTTCCAACACATCCTTTGAGACCGCCACCATGAGCTTATGGGCTGCCTGGCAATACTTGTTCACCAGGTCACCAAAAGTCATGCAAGACGACTCAAAAGCCAAAAAGGTCTGGTCAATGTAGTGCTTGGAGGGATCATTGCAGGCTAGGATGCGGCAGACCTTTTCAAAGCACTCGGCTTCATCTCGGCTGTAATGAAGGAGGAGTGCCACTACTGAAGGCAGAGCTGGGCAGAACGATATGTCTGGAAACTGGCTTGCAATGCAGGAGATTACCTTCCTGACAGCTGCAAGGCCCTCTGCGTTCAGACAGTAAGTGGGAACTAGGCTGTTGTCCACAAATTCTGGAAGAGGGAGGCTGCTGCTGTTACGTTTGCCAGTTATTTTCCCCACAATGTCCCGGTAGACATGGGCGTCTGGAGTTACTGTGCGGCAAGGGATGTCATTTATCAGTTTATGGTACACTTTTGCTCTTAAGGAGTGGTTCTTGGCCCAGTAACCTTGGCGAGCCAGTTGTTTCAGGTCCTGAAATTCGGTGCTACTCAATTCCTTCGTATCTTGATCCTGGATCGTGGCATCCATCTTATCCCAATCTATAAAGCGGCTATATTCACCCATAGCTGTTGCGATTGTCTTTGCAGGACAACATATAAGCAAGAATCTCCTTAGTGCTTGCAGGAAGTATTCTTTTTCCTGGAATAGAGTGGAAAACATATCAAAGGTTACTGATATACTCTTCCTAAACATCTAGATGTTTAACTTGTTTTTATCATTGCCAACAATACAGAACTAATTTCAAACTATCAGATGGAGATGCATGATTAGGATTTTTATGCAGTCACAGCAACAATTTATCACCCACTCTGTCAAAGAATACAACTGTGTCCCAAATTGGTCAGATTATTAACTTTTAATTCTACTTTACCAACTTAACTGGTTATGAAAGGAACTCTATAAACTTCTGTAGGGCTCCTAGGGAGATGTTCAAGTGCCAAATCCCTGACCTGACAATGTCAAGATAATAAACAGTCTTTGATTCTATTGGTGGGTAGTGGTGGGAGGGAATAGTGGTCCTCCAGATACTTTTCATTGTAACTCTCATAATCTCTCACCACTATCTATGACAGTCGTTCCCAAACTTGGTTCCCTAGAGGTTCTTGGACTGAAACTCCAAGAACCTTTCACCACTGGCTGTGCTGGCTAGAATTTCTGGAAGTCGTAGTCCAAGAACATCCGGGGAGCCAATTTTGTCTATGCTGACTGGGGACAACAGGTGCTGTAGTCAATAACATCTAGATCAGCCATTCTCAACCCTTTTTTCGGTCACTGCCATAAACACAATATGAAAGAAATACAGGCTGAATTGGGATTGCATAAATCACATAACCTTTCAAGGTGGTGTGTGAAGAGTCTTTTCTCGTCTGTGGCCCCCTTCAGATGTACCAGGGTTCCATAGGAGCCCACATGGCCCCTGTTGAGAATGGCTGATCTAGAATTCTATGTACTTACCACCATTTCTCTAGTAAATGTTTGGAAATGTTGTGATTCATAAACCAATCTTGTTTATTTCCTTTTCAGGCATAGTTGTACCCTAGAGTCAAAACCACTTCAGTGTATTTATAGCCTTAAGTGCTTTGAAGAGCACTGGCCGGGAGATGAGAGAAAATAGAAGTCAGATTTGAATGTACAGTCATGGCCAAAAATATTGGCACCCTTGCAACTCTGTCAGAAAATGCTACCCTTTTCTCAGAAAATTGTTGCAGTTGCAAATGTTTTGGTACTCACATGTTCATTTCTTTGGTTTGCGTTGGAACAACACACACACACAAAGAGAGAAGAAAAGTCAAATCTGATACAATCCCACACAGAAACGCAAAAATGCATTGGCCAAAATTATTGGCACCTTAATTTAATATTTGGTAGCACCCCCTGGCGTGCTCTGGTCCATGGGGTCACGAAGAGTCGGACACGACTAAACGACTAAACACACAGCACCCCCTTTGGAAAAAATACAGTAACTGAAATCAATTGCTTACTATAACCATGAATGATTTTCTTACACCTCTCTATTGGAATTTTGGACCACTCTTCTTTTGCAAACTGCTCCAAGGCCTTCATATCTGAAGGATGCCTTCTCCCAACTGCTGTTTTGAGATCTCTCCACAGGTGTTCTATGGGATTCAGATCTGGACTCGTTGCTGGCCATTTCAGAAGTGCTTTGTTTGTAACCATTTCTGAGTGCTTTCTGAAGTGGGTTTTGGGTCATTGTCCTACTGAAGACCCATGAGCTCTGGTGGAGACTCAGCTTTCTGACACTAAGTTGCACCCCAAAATTATTTGGTAAACATCAGATTTCATAATACCGTTCACACAGTCAAGGCATCCAGTGCCAGAAGCAGCAAAGCAACCCCAAAACATCTTTGAACCTCCACCATCTTTGACTGTCGGGACTGTGTTCTTTTCTTTGAATGCCTCATTTCTTTTTCTGTAAACAGTGCCATGATGTCCTTGACCAAAAAGCTCCACTTTTGTCACATCTGTCCACAGTAGGTTCTCCCAGAAGGATTGTGGTTTGGTCACATAAGTTCTGGCATACTTCAGTCTTGTTTTTTCATGCCTTTGGGTCAGCAGTGGTGTTCTCCTGGGCCTCCTTCCATAGCGTCCCTTTTCATTCAGATGGCGACGGATAGTGCGAGCTGACACTGTTATAACCTGTGTTTGCAGATCGGCTTGAATTTGTTGGGAAGTTAATCTGGGGTCTGTATCCACCATTTGAACAACCCTTCGTTGTAATTTTTCAGTAATCTGGCTCTTCTGTCCAGGTTCAGGGGGGTTAGCTACAGTGCCATGGGCACCCATTACAGGTATCAATATCTGCGGAATTAGATGCTCTTTCAGTTATCCACAATTTACCGCAACCTTATACTGTATACAACTTGCAAGGGGGCAGGACGCATGGCTTTTGGCCTAGCCCCTTGTATGTTGTATATAGTGTTTGCTACTATCCATGGTTTCAGGCATCCACAGCAGATCATGGAAGGTCTCCCCCACAGATATGGGGAGACACCTGTACTGATTTCCACTGCACTGCTATCAGTTCAGTAATAAGCCAGTCTACTTTTCTGAGTCTTCAGTTCAAGCAACTGGCTATTTTTGCAGCTAACAGAAGAAGGGTAGTACTGGCAATCAAACAAACAAACACTGTAATGCTTAACAAGGGATCTGTATACAAACATCTAGTCCACTGGGCATTTAAGATACATACTATTGGCAATTCACTCACCTCAGGATGTATCTGATCTATGACATTTAATGAAATGCTATAGGTTTTTCTGCAGTGGGAATTCTTCCAGGACTAACACAGAGCGTTCAATGGACTGCCATAATGAGGTTAAATGTACTTCGATTGTCTCCCTACGATATGCCCCAGGGTCTGCATCCATAAGCATCAGTTCCTCTCGCCACTCAAGGAATACAGTTCTCGACAATCTGGGATGATCCCGGCAGTGTTTCCTAGGCTACTTCTTACTCTCATATTTTATTCTGGACTCACTGCATGTTGGTGTGAAAGACAGCAATATATTTTCTGCCAGGACAAATTGCCTTGAAGGACTCTCCCTGAGAAGAGTACTATACAAAAGAATCCGTATCCTGGATAACGTGAGATACCCAACTTCCCCAGGGAGGCAATTGGATCCCATGAGAAATGTAAAAGCCAAACTGAATTTGGGGGAGGGGGGGAATGGATCTCGTATAGCTTAAGAGTGATTAGTTACAACTAGCTAGTTACCTTGAATATATTCCTACTTGGCAATAACAAAAGTGTTCTACTACATTATGTTATGACTGGATCTTAACGACGGATAACTGCACTTTCTTTTACAGTGCAACCTTCCATTATCATGGGAGTGTGGCCTCAGTAAATAGCGCTGGAGGAGTATCATGTGGTGTGAATGCTGCCACCTTCTTTCCTGCTGTCTGTACTGAGGCAACAATGAGCTGAACATGAAGAGTGTTTTGCACAGCAAAACAGAAGCTTGTAGCACTCATTGTCCCCCCACCCCCAAGTTACCCAGTAAGGATCAGTTTCAGTTATTTCTGTGAAGTGTGTAAGAGTAACACTTGCAAATTTCAACTATAATAGTAACTACTTTTAAGAAGTTACTTCCAAATACGAATCCTTACCATGGCAAACTAAAGAGGAATGAAGCATTCCCACCTCTTTTCCTTCCATGTACGAACAATTTGTAAAGTCCTGTACAATTGCAACATACAAAAAAGCAGCTAACAGTGCAGGGTGAGAGGGCTGCATTAAGATTCTTTACAGGCACAGAATAACTGCTGCATGTCATTATGATTAATGGCAATGATTACTGTGTACGTTATACAGCTGGCTGTGCAACACCCCCAGAGCTAGAAATATCTCCAAAGAGGAAGAGCTTCTTAGACAAGGGAAAGATGGAGTATCACTTGAAAAAAAATCCATCGCCCTCTAGCAGACATGTGTGCTAAAAATACCATCTAGCCATAAGCAGAACTGCTTCTAAGGAACAGGAAGATTGTTTGCCTTCTGAGGATCAAACGTGAGTTAAGCTTCCATTACCTCATCCAACAAAAATGACATTAATAGCTACAATATGCGGAATTTCAGCTCTTTTCTCTTCCTCTTATTTAATTATCTGATTACAATATGAGTAAGCATCCTTGGTGGATGACAGAACGGTCCCTCCGGCACACCTATATTTCACCTTCAACATAGAATGTTAGAAGAACATCCTCTCAGTGGCCTCAGTTGGTAAAAAAAATGTGGCAACCGGACTACCCTAGACTTTTTCTGCACAGTTTCAAGCTCTTATTACTGAAAAATATGAACTGGTTGCCAATTACCTTCCAACTCAAGGTGATGACCGTAAGCTCCAAAGCAATTTGGGGGCTGGTGACCTGTGGAACTATCTGTCTTTTTGTGAACCTGTGTGGAAACTAAGATCTTCAGGAAAGGTTGTCCTGAGAACACAATGACCCGATGAAACCCATTTGATGGCAGATGGCACAGCTCAGCTCTCCCAGACTGTGGGATGCGCTCCCTTTAAAGCTGCGATCAATTTGCGCTCTCTTTGCTCTTAGGAAGGATGTGAAAATGCCTCTTTGTAACCTGGCATTTAAAACTATTACAGTGATTGTTTACGGTGGAACTTTGCTTTATTGTTTAATTTGATTTATTGATATTCACTGGCTTCCTTAAAGACTGTTGTTTAAGTTGGAAGGCAAGATAAAAGTTGCCGTAAATAACTGCAGTGCCTTTCAGATGGTAGCCGGAAGAGCCCTTTGCTTGGAAGTCTGTTCCAGAGCAAACGTCTTAAGTGGTCACACTTAGGACGCTTCCATTTACCATTGTTTCAGAACTCTCGGTGATAAAATGAAAGGCCCAATGTGGTTTGCACAAAACCTGATCTACATACAGTATTACCAAGACAATGGTGGGCAAGTTGAAGAATTATCTCATTTTGGTCTTCCTTCCAGACACACTTTCTGCTCCCACTCCTTAAATATACATTCTTTTTGCTGAAGATGGTTGGGCAACTTACTATTATGGGCTGGAGCTTCTGAGATGCAGTGCTTTATTAACTCCCTTCCTTTTAAGTCAGTGGCATCAACCACCTATTGAAGAAAATAAATTTCTGAGATGCAGTGCT